GTGAGGCTCCATCCAACGAAGCTCCTCACGTGCTCCTAGGATATCATCAGGGACGCCTGATGACGTACCTGCGCCGTGACACTACTCCACTCTTCCTTGCTGTGTTTTGATGCCATGGTCGTTCATGTTTCTCCCCCCAAACCTTTTCCTCCCCAGCAGCGATGCAGCTTGAGCCGCTTCGTCACCGCAGTCAAAAGCAACAACCATTGTTCAAACACCTACAATTTCTCAGACTTTTCGCCATGCTGTTCCACCGCCATCCTTCCCATCGTGGTAACTGAGTTAACTGAAAACCAATGTCAGAGGGTGTGTGTGTGTGTGTGTCTGTGTGTGTGTGTAGCCAGGGCGCATCTAGCCATGACAAGCAACAGCATCCAATTCCCCGCGCAACCAGCTGGCCTCCCGGTGTCCTGTGCGCATGCGCTCACCAGGATCCATGGAATATCTGGTAGACCTTGGCTGTCCAGGGTCAAAATTGGCAATTTGCATTGGCCTCACCACTTACTGCATTGCTCACAGCAAAGTTATGGGGGAGAGATGCCCTTTGCAACACGACTCTTTGCAAGACATCATCAAAGGGTGTTTGCCTGCAAACGGCACCCTGCCAAAGAAAGACAACAACAATAGAGCTGTTGATAGACTGAGTTTGTACCAGCTGCGTTAGACATGGAACTGACCTTGAGGCAAACATTGTGCCAACCGGATGGGTGCAAGGAAAGTTAATTTCCTTGTTCAAACAGGTTCAGGCTGCGGATGACCCTCACCATCCATCCACGTGAAACCTGTCCTGTCCTGAAGCTTGGCGATCTCACCGGCACAAGCTGGGGTGACAGGTTGGTTGACAGAAACCTGGCACCCGCGCATGCTGGAAGCATCGTAGTCTGCCATGACCTTGAGACCGACGGACTCCAAGCTGGAGGTGCCGAGTCCAGTTCGTCCCGATTGACAGATCTCTTCAGCAAGTTTGAATCGAATCTCGATTGCTACTAGTAGTAAGGGGTGCCTTACTAGTAGTAACAAGCTACTAGTAGTAACAAGCTACTAGTAGTAACAAGCTACTAGTAGTAAGGCACCTTGCTGCTATTAGTAGCTTTTTTCTACTAGTAGTAATGCCCTTGTTACCAGTAGCTTCTTGATTCAAGTGAATCTTGTACAGTAATTAGATCATACTAGATCTAGAGCCAGAGTCCTCTCACGAATCAATTGCTTTCAGCATAAAGCAACCGGGTGGGGCAAAGTCGCCCCCAGCTATGTCTTCAACAGCAGCTGCACCAGGAGATGTACTCCTAACCGCTACATGCTGAAATATGTTGAGACCCTTTGCGCTAGGCACGAAACGCATAGGTCCTGCACAAAGATGAAGAACCTTAGCCCACGGGCACGGACAACCGGGAATAAGACACCCCCTACACCGTGGGGTATCATTCACAGGTTTTCACAGGACGTTCCCGGGCCGTGTGCTTGACTAATCTTGACTATGGGGTGTGCTGTGCGCAGTGTGCTTTCCGAGGGTACACGTGTGGGTATGCTTCGCCAAAGTCAAACATCCGACACCTAAATATATTAGTTAACTATCTATATATAGTTATAATACATAAACTCGACACATTTAAAAAGTACAAACCCATATCTGAATCTGTATGTTCATGGTCCAAAACTTCGCAAACTTCATACCAAAAAGACCTTGCAAAGTCTTCCAAGGAGGCATTGAAAGATCCTATCTTGGCGCGAACCCACAAGAGCTCCCCACAGGCGCAAAGGGCCAGTGAGCTCTGCGGGTGCCTCCGTTGGTCACGTCTCTTCAAAAGATGAAGAGTCTCATGTTGCCCTGTTGATATCCATGAAGCAGTGCATTTTACTACCTTACGCTCTCTTTCTCTCATTTGCGGCACTGAACAAAATAACATAGTTACATGCCTGTTGTTGTCGTGTTATTTACGGTGACACAACAGCTGCCACTCCGTTTGGAACCAACAGGCGATGGGCGCTATGGGTCTCTGAGGCCGTGAGATCGGATCAAAGCGGATAGAGTGTCGCTGCCTGGTTGGGTGCCACGCTCGGCCTGGAGACGTGGATGACGTGGATGGGGCAGTATCAAACAAACTGTGAAAAAAAAACTGCAAATTGAATACTGTTATATGGGGCCTGATGACCAAACAACAATTGCAGATTGAACTTGCAGATTCATGTTGATCCGGAGGAAGGCCAGGAAGGCCACGGGTCGGCTTCTATATTAGATTTAAATGCTGTTCATAAGCCAAGTCAAAGATGAGAGCCCCAGTATCTCTCCAGGGTTCGGTATATCCCAGGTTCTTATAACAAATGGATGGTCCACCAACAGCGGTAAGATTCAGGCAGTGCTCTCTGCCGCATTACCGGACCTCAGTGATCGCAGGTGACTTCACAACCAAGGCCCCAAGCGCCATCTAACCTATCTCCCATAAGTGACTGCCCTCTGCAAACTCAGCCTGGTAGAACAGTATATATACATATATTATAGATATATTTGTTTAATTGACAGATTTGGCAGGGGGACTTAGAAAAGATCTGCAGAAATTGAAAAGACTCTACGGAAGTGAATGGACTACCGACTACCTCACATTAGCAGTGAACACAGTGAACACATGCCAACAAGGACATTCACCATCATTCATTTATTGGCTCCGGCCCGGCGCCCCTCGCGCGTCGCACCCTCCATTTTCGTGCACGGGGGCAGTTTCAATGCCTTGGTGAAGCAAAATGGTAGCAAGGCCAAGAGCCCCTAGGAGCGTCCTTGCTCCTAGTAGCGAGGCCAGGAGTCCCTAGTAGCTTGTTGTTCCTAGGCCAGGAGCCCCTAGTAGCGTCCTTGCTCCTAGGAGGTTCAACCTCGACATGGCCTTTGTGGTCGGGTCATTTGGGGCCGCTCTGTAGCCGAAGGAACCTGCAGTGGCCCTCGTGCAAGGCACTCCTGAGGCTCTGGCTGCCTTCAGCCAGGAGCTCCTGCTATGAAATCTATGAACACGGTGACACGCGCTCGCCCGGTGGTGCTTCAAGTGTCGTATGAAAAGTTTCTTGACGCAGGAATATCCGAAAACCATACTTGCGATAAAGAAAGAACATATATAATAGCAAATACCAAGACCTTTGGTCATTGGACCCATTCACTGAGCAAGGACAACAGTTGTCCTTTTGGCAGTCGAGGCGTTTTCTGGTTGAGGAAAATCGATCACACCCTCTGTCATCAACAATAACCCTCTCTCAAAAATTGGACCAATTGGTGTCAGGGTGCAACGGTGCCAGCATCGATCTTTTGTCGCAAGACTTTTTGAAGCATTGTCCTTGAGGCTTTCCGCAAAGCCACCGCGGCGAGCTCGGACGTGCTCCCGAGCCCTGAGGGCGCTTGGCCGGTATGCAATGTGAGCTAGCCAGTTCCCGTGGTGCATCAGCAAATGCAAGCACTGGCATGGCCCTTCGTAAAAGAAGTCCTGACCCAACCCCAGATAATGTATGTCAGCATGTTCAGAATAGAGGCTTTAATTGTCCAGCTCTCTTCAGCCAAACAACGACGTATATTGGAAGGCCCAAGGTTGCAACAAACCGGGTTGCCTACTTTCCCAATAGCCTCTGCAGCGCTAGGCCATATGCCCTAATAGCCCTACATTAGCTGTTAAAGCATCCAGCAAAAAGGTCTTCCGTCCCTGTTTGGGACACCCCCCAATGCCTGGCTCGAGCCAGAAGGCCCAGGCGCGCGCGCTCCGCAGCATTCGCCATCTGGGTTTGGAGGCGTATGTGTTGCATGATCTCCGAAAGAAACTATATGTAAACGAAACGACAAAGAAGCATTGATGGTACATCTCCAACATACAGTATTTTATCTGCAGCAATGGTATGTCGATCTTTCCGCCTACTTCTTGGAAAGATTTTATATTCATACAATATATAATACATATACCATCATATACCTACACAAACTATATAGCGTGATTGTATGTGATTGCTACCTGCCAACTGTTCTCCCTCAGCAGTTGGTTCAACAAAAACCACGCATGCCGGAATGACGTACAAGCTCTGGTAGCCCACCAACAGCAAACGTCAAAACAATTCAGTAGTGGATAGTAGTGGCGTATTGGCCTCGGCGGCTTTCCTATGGAAAACTGAATCTGGGCAGTCTGCCTACCCATTTAAGACATGCCTCTCTCCGGGTCAAATGTCAGGCAGAACCTATCAGAACTATCAGACCTTGTCACTCTCATTATTTGATTTTTGGCACCTACTCTTCCCAAACCAGCAAAGGCCCACCTTGGCGTTCAAACACTGGGGTGAAGGATGGTATGTTAGACGAAGCACCTAGACGAAGCACCTATATACATATATATATATATCAATCTATATATATATTTTTTGATATATATTAGATCATGACTATATAGTAAATATTCACACATGGGTGTACATAATGGTACTCCACATGCAGTGAGGTGATTAATTGCTCGCCCTTAGTGCACCGGAAAAGGGTCAAACCGGGACACTAGGAAGCGGATCTTCTCGGCAAAGCCCTTGGCTTCTTCCTCTGTGGCGATGAGGGTGTGAGCAAAGTGGATGTGATCCTGACCTCGCCGATGTGATGCACTTGGGCCACTCGGGGGTCACACGCCTTGTGGGTCCAATTTGTATACAAAGAAGCGAAACAGTGGCGCTTAAACCTAGTAGCTTCTTGTTAATAGTGGCGATGCCAGGAGCTGCTAGTAGCGTCCTTGCTCCTAGTAGCGATGCCCCTTGTTCCTAGTGCGTGAGGCTTAAACACCAGGTTCCAAACCCCAGGCTCAACTTTCTTCCGACCGCTTGGCCCAGCGAGCTATCTCCTTAGAAGACGGGCGGCTCTGCCTCGAGTTTCAACTTCTTTAGTTTCCTAGTAGTAAGAATGCTCCTAGTAGCGATGCCCTTGCTCCTAGTAGCGGCCTTGTTCCTAGTAGTGGGTTTAACCAAAAAGGTGTCTTTCCTGATGACCCTTCGCCGTGCCGCTACGAGTGACGATCCGCCGTGACCCCTTCCGCCCCGTGACGGCCTTCTTTCCGTGGCCGTCCAGGATCCAAGCGTTCTTCCGCCTCCGCCAGCGTCAGCCCTCGGAGCATCTCACGGGTCCTGTCGGTCGGACGGACACCGACGGATCCGCATGGATCGCACCCAGTGATGGGCGTCCTGACCGTCCTGACCGGCGTCCTGGCTATTGTAGCTGCAAAGCATGTCTCACGACGCTGACCCCAGTCCTGGAATCATGAACCAAGGTCACGGGAGTGACCTGCAACTCCTGAAACGTGTGAGATCCATGAGCTGTGGTTGAGTGCAGAAGGAGGAAAGACTTTGAAACACCAGGAGGCTTCACAATGAATGTTCGCCCGCCAAGTTCATCTTTGCACCCACTTGCCGGAAAGAAACAGTACGATACAGTATATACGTACTCGCCCCAGGAGTGACAAGCAAGGGATCTTGCAGCTCCCACTTGACCACCTTGCATCGGATGTGATTGTCACATCCATGTTTAAAGCTCCTTAAACCATCGAAATACCAAACTCAAAGGTGCAAGAATTCTGGGAGAAGCTAGGTCCCACATTATGTATCCAAGTTTTTGAGATTCGTCTGGAGTACCAAGCCCACCCAAGCTGGCGAAAGAAGCGAGCCTCCAGAAAATTGGCCTCCTTCAAACCATAAGATCCTCAGTCTTCAAAAGGAGCAACCGCACATCAGGATCGTGTTGCTTTCCTTTGCTGTTTCGCATTGCTATGCTTTTGCTATTGTCGTCGTATACTGCAATGGTATCTGAGGACAAGGATTGGTGACCTTTGGCTGCCAGCAAAAGGATTGGTGCAAAACCGAAAAGTGGTGCCCACCTCCCTGTGCGGCGCTGTGCGGCTTCCGTGTTACGGCTTCGGCGAAACATGTGAGACCCGAGCATCCGGTGCTCACCACACAAAGGCCACGGAGCTGCGCCTGAGCAAAGTGAATGCCTTCCTAGGTACTATCTGCTTGAATTTACTTGATAGCAATAGAAAACATATTCCCAGATGCGTGTTCACCCACAGCGGGAAAAATCACCTTAAGCAAAACCGGGTCTGTTTGGTGCCCAAGTGATAGTCAACACCAGGAATAGGAGCAGATTCCGCATCTTCCCATTCCATGTCTATGTAGAACGATGTTGAACGCCTCAGTTTCCGCCACACGCTCCTGGGCCCTGCGCAGCCGGAACGTCGCGTTTGTGCCTCCACTGCGACCAGTCCAAAGGACTCCTGCCAGAGTGATGGCATCAGCAACACTGCGGTCCTCAGCAAGGCATCCACGCTCAGGGATTTCTACGAAACATGCATGGGCGTAGATAAAAAGAACAACCGCCTCCTCTACCTTTGCATATGAAATCAATGGATGGTCTTTCGTACTTTGAGGTGCGATTCATCTTGTTGATCCACACAGCTACGGCTCTCGGGCCTGGCGGCGAGTTCTGGCTTTCAGTCCCAGCCGCTGCTGATACACTGTATCTAAATCGTCACTGCCAGGGACAACCTTGACATTCGGATGAGCTCGCCTGGGTGTCTTCATCCGTTGGCCAAATGGCCAAATCTTCAAATGAGCTACTGTAAGTACATGTGTGGCCAACCATCCGTCAATTCACGTCACGGTCACCAGTGCACTGCGCACAGAAGGCATGTCACATATCAACACAATCGATAGAAACTAACCGTTAAAAACCCACCAGTTTTTTGCACTGCGCATGTCACATGAGCAAGGAGCCTATGACAAAATGTGACAAGGTTGTCACCACCCCTGCCAAGCTGCAGCTGCACTTCATGCAAAGTCTTTGTCCAGCCAGTGCTGACACACAGGAATTCCACATCAGGCAGCCTCAGTCAGGATTGAAAAGTACGGAGCTGTCAACTATACAGCCGTCGACAGGTGTGGCCCATGGCATTTTCTGGGCTACCTTTTCACCAACAACAACAACAAATAGTCAGCGAGTGATCATCGACCACCCTGGATCAATCCCCTTGAGCCGGGTTCTGTGCGTGTTTGAGAGCTTCCAGCTTCAAAACCGCTCACCACTCTGAAAAGATCAGTAAACACACTGAGCCCTTCAGTAGTGAATCTTTGGCGGCGGTCACTCCAATGGCTCCCTCCAGTTTCTCTCATGGTATTTCTCATCTGAGGCACATCAAGGCCAAACGCAGGAGAATCGCCAAGCCTTTGGCTGGACTCGGACTGATCAAGGTCACCTCCGGTGCACGATAAAAGAACCCCAATAACGTATAATGCCGAATAGTGTGTGAGTTTAGCCGTTTAGCAGCTCAAAGGCTTAAAAAGAGCTCGGTTGTCCAGTCTTTCTTGGATTTTCTCAGACTTCCATTTTTTTGGGGGGGGTCTCTCCAAGACAATCTTGCAGTCTGGAGTTTGTTTGCGGGGGCCGAAGTCAGTGTTAACAGTCCCACCACCATCCACCAACTTACAGTCCAGTGGACATACATCAACCTTTGTTGCCTTCAGCAGCAACATGTCGAACAAAGAAAACAACCTGTTGAAACTTGAAACAAGTTGTTGTAAAATAATGACCTCTGTTGTCGCACTTCTGATGTCTCTTGTGCGTGACATATTTTTGGACGTCATGTTCACACTGAACAGTTGCCATGCTTCCGAAGAGAAACGTGTGGCCGACATGCTTCCAACATTGACCCAGTCACGTATCTGGGCTCATTGGCCAAAGGCAAATCTTCGGAGTCAAAATAGCCATAGTCCGCACAGTAGCACAAGCGTGTCTTCACACGGCCTCACGGGATCAGAACAAAAGACAACCACCAAACAAGGCGGGGGCACCACCCATGATACATCATGATACCAACAAACACAATGCAGCGCAGTGAAGATGTGGAATGCATGGCCCATGGAGAAGATGCACGAGCCGAGCACGAGCCGAGCCTGCGGCCTACTACTCAAGCCGGTTCGAAATGTCACATGGATGGATTGCCTGAAATTGTGCGTAAGTCGACCCTAAATACAGCCCTTGCACTTCATGGTGTTCAGGTCTCAAACTCTGCTAGGAGATGATTTGGTTCTTTCTTCATCTGTGTTCATTGACTGCTTATCACCTCTCCTTGAGAGAAGCGGTGCACGAAGTCCACTAAGTGCTGAGAAGTGCAGAACCTAGGATCATCAAAAAAATGTTGGACGCGCCAAGGGCCCAAGAGCCACAGTGTTTTTTAGGTGGATTTTACTGCCAGCCAAACCCTATGGATCCTGACGTATACTGACTGTTTAACTGTTTTTTGTGTTAAATGTCCGCCCACCCCATCCCAAGCAAGCGACATCGTCATCCGTGAGTCTTGGATCAACACGCGATGCAAGGCCAACCTCGGTCCCGACTTCTCGTGAACTTGCTTTGGTTTGAGATGTCTTCGCCGGATGCCAACGATAATAACACAACAAGAAGTCTCGAGATAGATTGCTGAAAACAATCTGTCCTATCAGCCAATGCCCAGCACTCGATGCCGACACGCGGCATCTCTGGCTCCACTTCCATGCCCCATGGGCCAAAGGGCAAGTTGTAGTCGTGGCCCATGGCCTGAGACGCACTCGGTTGTTGCCCCAAATGACGAGCCTGCAAGCTCACAGGCCCCAAAAAGATCTCCAATACTTTCTCAAATTCTCGTGTTTGTGCTTCTGTATCTTCTGTTTCTTCTTGCGACTGTGTACCCTATCCCAATGGGAATCTTGTTCATCCAGTCATGAGAATGGCCACTTAAATTCGACACCGCGGTGGCATGACGTCATAGGGAACCCCCACAACGCCCCCTTCTGCGGCTGGGCCGCCACATACTTCTTGGCGCGGATGCTCCTGCGACGGAGGTGAGGCAGGTGGGCTGGCAGCCATTCGCACCATGAACAACAGGACACTGCCACGGCACACAGCCAGACCTCTTCCAAATACTCTCAACATTTTTACCGGTGGTTTCAAATCGGCCCCTGATGGCTACTCCCATCCCCTGACCGCCCGCCTCAACATGAGCTCCAAGCAGGTCCGCCTCGATTGGATGGAGACAGCCACGTCCACTGCGAGGTCGCCAGCGCAGGCGCCTCGCATGGTTGCAGGAGTGAAGGGCGATGTTTCACTACTTGAAGGTGGGGGCCTGGGCTTCAAGAAATGGAACACCAAGTGTTCACATCTCAAGAACAAGCAAAAAAAAGCACACCTGAGCCGTCTTTAAAAGGGTAAAGCGTCTATACACTGCTGTGTTGCCTGCGCTGGGGGTTTCGCAGGGTCAGAATTTGTTGGACGTATTTCTGGGAAGGGTGTCTTTGCGTTGCTTTGCGAATTGAGTAGGTGCCTACTTAATTAAGTAAGGAGATGTAAGGAGTAAACACGCTACATCACGCTACGCAGGACACTGGACGCAGGACGCAACGTAGCTCACGCACGGACCATCATTTGGTTCCTAGATGTTTAGGGAAACTACATGGGAAACGATGGGAAACGCATGGAAACGCTATATTTATCATTCTGCTGACTCTCACTGACTAGTGAGATCACCGACAGGACCCCTCTCTCAGTGATTGTTCTGATGGAATGATTTCCGACAAGTGAGACAGGTCTTGGTGGGTCCAGACGTCGCCTAGAAGCTGCCCCATGCTGCCACGCCAAGCAGAAACCTCAAGGATGATCAATCAACCATCTTGGGTGGAATATCGACAACGCAATAACAATCCACAACTATTGCAAAATATATCTTATATAGTTATAGCGCATAGGCACTCGCATAGGCATGCACGTGCACTTTTAATTACGGTCTTTCGATTCAACTAGGACCTAACTAGAGTGGCACCTGGCTGGAACTGAGACCTACACCGGCTGGCCCCCACGGATGTTGAGCGTCACATGCTGTGGGCCTTCACTGGGCAAGGCCCAGTGGCCCGTCTCATTCTTCCAATCCTTGGCCAAAATACCGTGGACAATGCTCAGAGGCCAGTGCATTTGGGGACTGATGTCCTGTCCAATGGTGGGTATTTCATGTTTTCTGACCAGGAACGGCCGAACACCCTCAGGGATAGCCGCACCCAGCGCCACGTCCGCATGAACCAGCCCAGTGTCGTAAACCAGCACGGCCGTGAGTTCGAAGTCCTCGCTCTGCGCGATCGACCGCAGCAGCGCCTGCGCGGCATAGCGCCGGCCATTGCCCGTGCTCGAGACCATCCCCACGTCCTTGGATAAGCCGAAGGGGCTGGGTGGCTTGGCTGCTTGGGTGGGCATCAGCGTGCCACCGGAGGCATTTTGAGAGGGCCAAGTCTCACTCCTCACTTGCCAAGAAGTAGTAGTGACAAGTCGTGGGGAGTATACATCTGTCAGAAGCGGGAAGTCGTGCGATTCAAAGCTTACCTTTGAGCTCGGGAAGTGGAAAATGTCAACAATGTGCTGGTTGAAGTCTTCGCAACTGAACCCTTTGATTGCCTGGACTCGTTCAGGGAAGTACTGCGTACTATTATTAGTGGGAGAATTCAAGGATGTATGACGTAAGGTGGTTGATTATGCAGTGACCAGCAATGCCTCTATCGGATTTTGACTTGTCATTGTGCTCTATACAATAGTGCTACGTTAAGAACCCTACTTCGGGACGGAGGGCTTCACATGCAAGGCAGGTTCGGGTCACCTGATACAAAAACTCAGCCTCGAACGAAGAGGCTCGTCTCATCAAATTCATCCTGCCCAAGCGGGGTCAATCCAAATCATGGACAACACAGCGGAAGAAACATTCTTTATCAACCCTTCCCTTCTTGGCTCTGTATAGCGCATGACCACCGATACTATTGACTCTGCCCAATGACTCCCAAAACGATCACTGCCAAAAGAAGGGGTGGAACGTGAGGCTTGCCACATTGCCTGCGTTGCCAGCACAGCAACGCGCAGTCGGGCTGTCGCCTGACCAGTTTCCCACAGGTCGAGTGCATCTCAGCGGAGTCGACCCTCAAAGATGGACGACTTGTGATTTTTCCAGTGCCGATCCATGAGCTGTGCAGAAGCATCAGCTGAAGCCCAGACAGCGAGGCCAAATGGCAAGTCCCGTTCGACGGACACACGGACAGGGCCTTCTCTGGTCGATGAAGAAGTGGATCCGGCCTCCCAGAGGTGAAGGTTATGGTTCATCACAAGACCCCACAGCACTACAGCAGTGCATCTGCATTTGTGCTTTGAATCACTTGCATATGGCTTCTTACCATAATGGCAGGGTGGCCAGAACAAAAGCTGCTCTGCAACTGGTGCAGCCCTTTGGGCATTTTGTCTGCTTGCCATACCAAACGCACTCCGTTAGAGACTCCATGGTCTGCATGATCCTCCCATCTGCACCTCAGGAGCAGCTCCGCCCCCTTCTGTGGTGAAGCCGCGTTGCACAAGACCTCCACCGATTGCTGCGCACGAAGGTAGGCCACTCCTTCAGCGAGTCGTGCAAGGTAGAGTGTATAGTCATAAAGGTCACGAACACCAGCGAATGAGAACAATGACGGCTACTTAGCTGCACAAAACCAACGTTGTGTGCCTTTTGGGAAAGTCACCCCACTTGATGAGTGGGTCATAGACCGTTGAAAACTGAACTGAAGGCACACCATTACGGCACAAGCTGCTTCTTTCCCGAGGCTCGTGGCGTCTTCGTGAACCAGGCCAAGACCAATGACCCACCCAAAAGGCCAAGTGATCTGGTGGACAAGTTTGGAAGGCCACTTGTTCCATTTGTTCCAACGGAAGCCCCATGATGCCCCTCAGAAGCCGAGTTCCTGTTCCAACTGTGCCATCAGGAACCTCTTGGAGGTCCGTCGACACAGGATTTCGAGCATCTCAGCGATTCACAAGTTCGTTGCTTTCAAACCCCACCAGCTTCATCAATCCAACAATTGTTGGTTTCAAATCTGGCACAAGTCCTCCAAAAAGGACGAGCCCTGCCAGGCCCTTCTTCTCGCAAAAGGCCTCTGCTGGGATTGGCAGCCCATCAATCCAAAAAATTGTACCAAATAGGAAATCACTGGAGACTGGAGTGGCTGCAGCTTTTGGCCAGGGCCCTAAGGCATGAGGCTCTTGAAGCCTTGTGGCTAGGAAAGAGTTGGTGGAACCCCTTCATGGTCTCTTGAAAGAATCTACTCGCCCAGCAGTCGGGTCACATCTGAGTCATCGACCTTGGCCTGCGCCAACTGGGACACGGGGACTTTGCCCAAGTCCTCTCCAGGAAAGGCGTCGTGGTCCCGGAGCACGTGCCACCTAGCCACTTGGTGCCAAGGAGGAAGACATCTTCACATCAAGACTTGATTATGCGTTCAATGACCTAGGCAAGTTGAAACTGGACATGGAAAAACTGTTGGACTTCATGTTACTTTGTATTGTTTTTTGTTTTGGTATTGCTGTGCGTCTTGGTCTCCTACCAGAAAAACAAAGGAAACCCTGGATAAGGGGGGTAATGTTTCTGCAATTTTCTGCGTCCATTCATTAGAACTCCAGGCAACAGAAGTGAGATTGAAACTGTCTTGGCCTTAGCCTGAAAATTGTTCGTTATGTGTTTTTATGGTTGTTCTGTCTTGTTTCCCTCCTTTCCTAAATGCCATGGAGAGAAACACAAACACACCATTAAAACACAACATAGTGCGGTATTCGGCGGTATTAAGAACCACTCCACATCAATGGACCGGCTTCAAACCAAAAGGTGCACCAACCACCAACCCCAACCAATCGCCAACCAGCAAAAGGATCACGCGTCCTCATATATCACCAGAAAACAAACCAATGAAATGACTGTCATGTGGCCTTCGCTCCCCCCTCCAAAAAAGGCCCAAACTGGTCACTATGCAAAACCACTGGCAAAAAGGAACAGTTGTCTATAAAAAGGCCTCTGTTTCTTTGGATCCATAGTTCTGTTCCTCCTCCCATTGTCAGACCTGTCCACCATACCACCACACCTGGGCCGCCATTCGTCTTCCCGGAGTGGCTGTGGCTCCTGGAGCAGGCCGGCGGCTGTACGCGCCAGCCGGGAGCCGTGGTTTTTTGTGAGGCACAGGAAATCACTCATGGGAAGTCACAGGAATTTCTGATTCACAACTGGGTGCATGTTGGTCTTTTTAATAAAAACAAACTATAAGTGTATTATTAGTATATTTGGGGCCTGCTTTCATCTGCTTCTTGTTCTTTCCGTTGCTTCTGGTTGTTTCAGGACCCCTGGCTACAGCGTCGAGCGCCCAGGGGATGAGCCACGCCTGGATCTTCGGGACCTTCTGTTCGGCGAAGATCCGCTGGTCCTCGCGGGTCGCCATCGCCACGCACAGCCTGGCGTGCGACCATGGAAGGAGTCGAAGGGGAGAGGAATGGAGAGGGAAAGCAACCCAGAGTTCCCAAAGGTTCCCAATGAAAAGGTCTTATCTCTCAACGCTATTAGGTTGGAGGCCATCGCTAGTAGGGTGGAGGCCATTGCTACTCAGGAGACCAAAGTTCCCAAATGTTCCCAATCAAGAGGCCCAATGGAGCATTTTGGGCGAGCTCTGATGATCCAATGCTTTGGAGCGTCAGTTTTTTCACCCAAGATTGGTCAAGGCAAGCCGCTGAAAGTCCACTTTGAAGCAAAAGCGTCCTTCTCTCTACGTGTCCCTGAATTTCTTCGTGGCACTCTTCCCAGCACAGCACTCGCAAAGCAGCCATCCACTCCCATCCCTGAATAGCTTGGGCTCCATTCATGACAATGTGACAATGTGGAATTGCCGGGTTTCCTCCTGAACTTCCAGCGATCTACATCTGAAAGTGTCATACAGTTTTGTATTTAATATATGTGATGTGTGTGAAAATCCACTGATTCTTGATTGCAGCAGGAGATGGCAGGAGCCCACTCGACTGGAGCCTGGAAGCCCCCATCTCCGACCCTCCGCTTGAACTTGCCTGGCCCGCAGCTCTCCATCCACATGCAGCGGGAGGACCGCCGGCAGCACGGGACCACGCGCCGCTCCAGCATTGGGTCGCTGACCTGAGTGAGGTCCCATACACCTCCCGTCAACAATGCAGATGGATGATGGAATCACAAAATCATGTCATAATTAGGTCAAAATGCACAAACTAGTTACAGTACTAATTTACAAGTGCTCAAATGTGCCATGCTGGGTGTGTCTGCCTGTCAGGCTCATTGTATTGGAACACCGGGTGACCTATTGCATCCTATTGCCACATTGGATGTTTGTCGTTTGCCTTGGCTCATTCTGGAAACGAGCACTGAATACTACAATCTGACCTCATATACGATAGCGCTAGTGGATTCGACCAGTAGCTTCTTGGCTTACAACCATTGTGGAAACCAAAAACATCAAAGGGCACCATGCCTTGCTGTTTAAGTACTATAACTACAACTCCTTTTGGCATTCCAATCGCATGGTTGTAGTCTGCGTGCCTTGCCCCAATCTGCGATCCCGAATCGCCCCTCCATCCGCCTCGCGTACCCCATCGGATGCGCAGCACAGGCCCGACATCACAGGTGAAGGCACAGCACATGGCCCAGGCGTTTCTTGCGGAAAGTGATGCAGACTGACAGGAAACTACTAGGAGCAATGTTCGCTACTAGGGGCTCCTGGCCTTACTACTAGTAACAAGAGCTCACTGCAAACTGGAAGACTGAAGATAATGCAAACCTGGCCGACCGGCCGACCCCAAAGGGTTGTTTGGAGGATCATTTTTTGTTCCAAAAGCAATTTCCGAACAATTCAAAACAATCGAACCTGGGGATCACTTCTTATTTGACCAACTGGTTCCTTTCACAAAGGTCATGCACCTTTGACCGTCTTTGACTCTTAGTAACTCCAACCTCAAGGCCCTCATTTAGTTTGGGCCACACAAGCCTGGGCCGAATGACAATGAGAAAATTGTTGCTATCATCTCGGCTGGTGGACTGTGACTATGAGCGAAAAGCCAAACCTCAGAGCTGAGTTGTGCCATGCCACGCGACCGAATCAACCCCAATGCGATCACGAACCGCACATCAGGACCTCGATGAGCCTGAAGAGAACTAGGGAACTGGCAACCAATCCACTGTTTCTGGGTCCTGGGTGCCTAGACATGCCTCGACATGCCGTCTGAGCCGCTTGGCAAACCGTGGGACATTTTTGTGAACCGCGCAGCAGCGCTGAGTCCGCTCGAGCGTGGTCGGTCTCCAGCGGCGGGGACGGGTGGAAAAGCAATGGAGTTGCAGCAGGAACGTGCAACCCAAATAGAACGAACATGGAATATGGAACTGTCATGGAAACTATGGAACGAGTACATAAGAATATCGGAAAATTGTTTGATGAATGTGGTCATCTTGCTGGAGGCGGTATGGCACCACAAAATGGGAACCCCATGGGCCCCTCGCAAAACCCACACAGTCCAGCCACACCACGCCGTTCAGTTCCGCACGGATGCTCTCCAACTCCGCGGAGGACGCTGGAGCCATCTGAGACCAACCGGCGTCAGACCCCAGGCGTTTCAGAAATCAACCACACGAGTCGACCAAACAACCTACAAAAGAACCAGGGAACAATGCCAATGCACAGTGCAAAACGACGAAAGAACCAGAACAGGAACAGCAAGAACAAGGACATGCAAAAAAAATGAGATCAAGAACATTCAAGAATGATCACACCAACAGGGAATTACAATTCAAAAAAGAAATGAGGACAGGACAAGTACAAGAAGAACATAAAATAACAAGCAACACCAGAACAGCGACAACAAGAAACACCACAAGAACAAGGACAAGAACGTCACAAAAACAAATAGCAAAAACAACCCTCCGGGTCGGAAACAGAACGTATAGTTGTGCGCATTTTAATCATGAGGAAGCCTCCCAAACCACAAGAGCCCGGTAAAAACCCACATGTTTAATGTCATTATCTGTCATCTATGCGCGGGGCCTGACTGCGTGCCCTACAAAACCCTATGCTTTGCAGTGAATTCTGCCCATTTTCCTGAATTTAGGGTGTCGTTTCGTGACTCCTTTTTTGAGAAAGGTGTAAAAGGTCATAGGAAATGCAACGCACAACTTGCGCGCTTTTTTGCTGCTTTTGTCACATGTCCTTTGACAGTTGTTTGGCGCGCAGTGACATCAGGTTGTTTGAACCTGCTTGCATGAAGCGCGACTGCCACGACCGAATCCTTCGCTCAATGAGGAAAACTTTCGAAGAGAGCGACCAGCCCCCCCCAACCTCCCCGTAGAATCTTCTGACCTCACATCTTTAACAACTCATCACCATCGTGTTCTACTGATCACACGAACGAAGCCAGCCCCCCCCCGAACCTCTCGTAGTATCTTCTGTCCGCTTCTGTCGTCACATCAAAATCTCATCACCATCGTGTTCTACTGATCACACGAACGAAACCAGCCCCCCCGAACCTCCTGTAGTATCTTCTGTCGTCACATCAACAACTCATCAACAATTCATCATCATC